GCATATCGCATGCGTTGCAAATATCGATTGCATATCGCATGCGTTGCAAATCGGTAAACTAGATATATATGGTTTTAGTCATAACAGTATAATGTTTATGTCGTCCTACCTAATGAATAGAAAAGAAAGAGTAAGAAAATATGATGAATTTCTTGGACTTCTTTTATTTAACATTTTTTAATATGATTTATTTACTTTTCTTTCTGACATTGAAAATGCTAGATATTAAAATGAAAATACTCCATATTGCACAAGAAAAGACATCATTTCTGTAACTACGAACCACCAAAAAGCAGCAAAGAAATTGTTAATATGGTTCAAAATTAATGGAATGAAGTCAAATTCAAAAATGTTAATATACTCGGAATAAAACTGAACAAAAAACTTTCGTTCAAAGAGCATGTAAACACTTTATGCAAATATTCCAGCATAAAGTAAACGCAATTTCAATAATTGCATCATATATGTCTTTCAACCAACGTAAACTTATACTTTCTGCATTTGTAACTTCAAACTTCTCATACTGCCCACTTATATGGAAGTTTCACAGTAAGAAACTAAATAAGCGCATAAATCAAATCAATGGGAGAGCTTTAAGAATTAACTACAAAGACTACGAACCTCCATTTGAAACTCTCTCACTAAACAGCGTTACTCTAACTACACACCAAAACAACCTGCATTGTTTGGTTACTGAGATTTTCAAAATAAAATTACGAATTGCGCCTATATCTATGTATGAAGTTTTTAAGTTTCTCGAATCAAATCTGAGACATAAAAATTAAAATTCCAGCAATATTCGTACATTAAAATATGGATTGATATCTCTATCTTACCTAGGACCTAAAGTTCGGAAACTAATTCCGAATGATTGTAGAACATCTTCATCTTTAAAAGAATTTAAAAAATTAATAAAAAAAAAATGGATTCCCAAGCAATACCCATGCAAATCACTCATGGTTTTTATTAAATACGTCGGATACAATAAGAAACTAAAGTAAAATGAAATCTGTATATATATTTTTTTATTTTTAATGTAATTGTTGGTTATCTTGCCATTTAAATTTATAACAAAGCTTTGTTTTTGAAGGATAAGTATGAGTTGACTTTAGCCAATTATAGAGCTATAAGTGTAACAACCATATGTGTCAACTATAAATAAATTACAAATAAATAATAAATAAATGTTCCTAGAGATGAACATAATGAGTTACTGGTATTGAACTGCTTTTTAGACTAAATTCGTGTTAGAAACTGCTTTTAGACTTTTTGCTGAACTGTCAAAGAATAAACTCCATTCTTCATGATTGTGAGCAACTGCTATGTCGTCAAAAGACCACGAACGTCAGAGCAATAACACATTGATTTTAATACTGCATAAATGGATCAAAAAATAAATTCATGTCTTTTTTAATATTTTGATGTCCTGCAAATTGGATCTTATAAATTGCATTATTTTAAACGTGTCAGGAGTTCTGCGTTTGATTTAGATTGATCTTTTTTTGCACTAAGTTATCAAGTTTGGTTAGGGAAATAAGGTAAATCATTTGGTTGCCTAAAATCAACCTTATCCTGTGTGTCTTTTTCAAAATTATATGCAGCTTTTATTTTGTGGATTAGGACAGAGTAGAAGCAGGCAATTTATCATTTACAAAACTATTCCAATAAAAGATAGCATATTTAGATAATATTGAGTTACACTATCCGTTTGTGTTTTATACTTTGAAATGTTAATAAAGCAGAAATAACCCTCGTTGTAATGGTTCATCGGTTAGTTATATTTTCTGAATTGCAAAGATAATTGGTTTTCGGATTCCTTACTGCAATCTTTCAAAATTTGACTTTGACCAAAACATTTGTTATGTATAAAGAATCTAAAACGTCTGTTGTGTATAAAAGAACAAAAATGTTTGCTATATATAAAAGAACACATGTATTTGCAAAAAAATTTTTAACGTGCGTCATTAGGCGTTTTGATTTTTTTTTTCTATATTTGTATTTTGATTTTATTTTACTTTTTAAATGCATTTTATGGCGCTTGTTTTAAGACTAATGTCAAACATATTTGAACTCTTGAAAGAAAGTAAAATTGAATTGAGATATCCAAAGAATTCGTTCGTCATTTTTTTCTAGTGTCAGTTAAATAAGTGCAAAATATTTTGTTTATATTGCAATGCTAACTTCTGAAAAATAGCGAGAAGTTCCTGAATAGATTTTGTTAGATTAACTGGCTACATCACAGTTATCAATAAAAAATGTTTTCTGCAATAATAAAATTCTAATAACAAAACCAGTTCAAAAATCAAATAGTTCATAGAAGGACAAGTGAAAACATAAATACTAAATCAGTTATATTTTCAATAGATTTTTTAAAAAAAAAAAGATTAAATTGAAATTACTATATTTAGTCAAATGAATTGTATTTCAGGTTTACAAAAAGAAAAAAAGAAAAAACAAAGAAATCGCATCACTTTGATAGCCGAATCAAAGTTTTAAAGCATATAACAATAATAATCTCTTAATTAGCTTCAAATATAACTAAAAATTGATCACGAACATGACAATGGTATTGTTACTAGTTTATAAAAAAACATTTGCCTCTGACACCGACACTGCTGATCACTTTATTCTATTAGAAAAACTAAAATGGTAAGGGGTATGCAATAAATTATATCATTGAATAAAAAGTTATCTAACTAAAAGAAAACAATATGTTCAAAATAAGATATCCGGACACCTAAATGTTTTGTGTGGAGTGCCTTAACAATTGATCCTAGGACCGCCCTTATATTTAATTTATGTTGACAATTTTACAGGGTTAATGCGAAATATAAAACATTTATTAAGAAAATATAAAATATTTTTTAAGAAAATATTAAGCATTTTTAAGAAAATATAAAACATTTAATTAGTTAACTTAATGTTTTATATTTTAAATAAAAAACATTAAATTACGTAATTACTTCATAAAACTTTGGAATTTATAAGGTTTATTCATAACAAAGAAGAAAACAATAGAAGTAAAAAAAAGATGGCGGTAGTTAGTAGTTGTAAGTACCTTAAAAAAATAATTTTTTGAGTCTATTATCAAACTCTCCATCTTACTTTAAAGTTTAGAATCTGACTTTTAAGTTTGAAATAAAAGCTTTATATTTATAAAATAATTAGATTTAATATGGTGAATAATGTTCGCTATAATTTTAGGTTTATATTGAGTACAATGAAAAATACAAAAATTACTATTTCCATATTAAATAAAAGCTCATTTGTATTCAGGCTAACTATGCTTATAATTAAAATATTTAATTCAAGCTTTATCTTTGTTGTTTTAATCGATAAATGGAAAATAAGAGTGAAAGAAAAAAAAGAACACTTATTACAAAGAATATTGTAAAAGTCTAGCATTTCTTTTATCATTTTTTTTATTACTTTAAGTGGTTCCACTAATATACCCATCAATATTAAGTACCACTTGAAGTGGTACTTAATATTGATAGGATCTTTTTATTCATATATATATATATATATATATATATATATATATATATATATATATATATATATATATATATATATATATATATATATATATATATATATATATATATATATATATATATATATATATGTATATATCACAGCTCTTGAAAAAAGAAGAAATTTAGGTTATTTGATAAAGAAAAATAAATTTTTTCACACAGTATTGAAAAAATAGAATTTGCCCACCACATGAGCATAAGTCATTAGAATTATATTACTGTCTACGAACTGTTAACTGTATTTCGTTACTAACCGCGTAGTATATGCGTGGAACGCACTTGCATTAAATTCAACCTACGCAGTCTTGGAAATGCCTTCAAAGATCACATTGATGGAAAAAGAACAAATAATAGACACAGCGCCTGTCTTGAAGCTGTCAGCATAATAATGCCTGGTGTCACCGTACTTCATTAGAAATTGATTTAACTCGTATTAAATTTTTTCTGAAAAATTAAATTAAAACCAGTGAGTTGTTTTTTATTTTGGTGTTTAAAGGCTTAACGTTTTAAAAGGCTAAAATAAGGAATAAGTAACTTCATATCTTGAATGCGTTTTTTTGAAATTTGGTTTAAATTTTTCAATTACCACTTTATTATAAAATTTTAGTAAAGATAAGAAAGTTTCTCTAAAGTACCATTTGAACCAAGTTAATATTGAGCAGGTTCAAACTTGTACTACAAAATTTTTTTCAAATAATTTTAAAACATTATTCTTACAATCACTGCGGTTAAATAGAAATTACAAGCTTAAACAAATATTTGCACAACTTTAAAAAATAGAACATTAACTTGTCTTTATGACTGATATTACTGTCGATTTGCAAAAAACTGTAGTAATGTTACAACCATTTGAAATGTTAGTGATGAATATAAAATGGTCAATTAATTATTTTCAAATCATTTTTTTTAATCTTTAAAATTAATATTTTTCAAAGGGTTATTAATGTGACTGTTAATTCAATCCAATAATAAATTAAATAGAAATCATCAATCCATTAAATTGTTTTCCTAGTGGAGTAAAATAGTGAGTTTTATGTAGAAGTAACAACCACAGTTAAAGCTACAATATTGTTTATCATCAATTCAAAGTAGATAAACAAAATTATATCATTCATATCAGATTGTAACAAACAATTAACTAAAACTATTTTGTAACTGTTATTACGAATATTTTAAAAATACAAAAAATAATCGTTGAATCTTATGTAACATATTGTAGTTATTTTGTGACGTGTAACAATCAGAAAGGTTACCACCACAGTATAATGTTGTAGTAACATTACTAAATTACAACTCTAGTAGCAACCTACACTTCTGGGGTGAATACATTAAAAATAAGTTTATTTATTTATTTTTATTTATTATTTTTTTATTTATTAAATAGCTTTATTTTTTAAATTATTATTTATTAATTAGCTAGCATATTATACTTTAATAAAAACTAAAGGTTTTAAATCCTACCTTAGTTGTTTCAATAAATCATCTTGATCGGCATTTTTATATGAAAATATGTTGAGATACTGTTGGAGTCCCTTTCTGAATTTTTCTTTTCCTAAATAACTATGAAGCATTTGGACAATGCATGAACCTTTGTTGTATGTTATCGTATCGAAGATTTCTCTAATTTCATTAGAATTAATTACTTTTGTTGAAATTGGGTGCGAAGTCAAAAAAGAATCTAATTTAAAAGCCGGTATCATTAGGTCAGTAAAAATTTTTTTCATAGATTCCATATTTGGTTTAAGTTGATCAGATCCATAATAACTCATGTAACTAGCAAAACCTAAAAAGGAAATAAATAAAAAGAATAAAAACTAACAAGCCCTAAAAAAGAAGAACACAAATCTTTTAGCAAAACCAAAAGAGGAAATAAAGAATAAGAATAGAATCTAGCAAACCCTAAGTAGGAAGAATAGAAATCTTTTAATTGAACATAATTTGATTTAAAATTACTATTGTTTTTATTAAAAAAGTATTTTTACCTTCTTTTATTAAAAAAGTATTTTTACCTTCTTTTAACCAAGTATCAGTCCAAAACTTCATCGTTGCTAGGTTACCAAACCATTGATGCGCTAATTCATGAGCAATAATTAAAAAAGTTGCTTGCTTATCTATTTCTGTTGATAATTCATTATTTATTAACATTTTGTCAGATCTATAGGTTATTAGACCCCAATTTTCCATTGCTCCTGGTCCAAAGTTTGGTATGGCAACAATATCAAGTTTTTTCAATAAAAATGGTATTTTAAAGTAATCTTCAAAATACTTTAGAAGCATTACTGTTGCATTTAATGTATACTCTGTATCAGCAAGTTGATTGTGAGGCGCCCAAGCTTTTATAACTAATCCATTATCAGTTATTAACTTGATGTGTTTATAATTAGAAACTACCCAGCAAAGAGTATATGTTGACATTATTGGCGTTGTTTGAAACAAAGTGGATATTTTCGTTCCATTTTCCTTGCTTATTGATTTAGGCATATTTGAAATAGCATGATATTTTTCATTATGAGTAAGAGACAATGAAAATGTTGCTTTAAACTTTGGCTCATCAAAACACGGAAAAGCTTTTCGTGCACTTATAGGAGAGAAAAATGTTGATGCAATATTGTGTGTAATATTATTTTCCGTATAACTACTTTTATAAAATCCATTAAGATCTGAACGCAATGTTCCGTTAAAATCAATAAAAATTACGTACGACATATTAGCTAAGAGCATTGAAGCGACTTTTATTACGTAATATTCATTGGCAAAATAGTTAAAGTGACTATCAATCTGAATTTGATTGTCTTCAACGTTTTTCAATAACACATTATTAATTTGGAGGTCGACTTGATGAACTAAAATTACATTAGTTGATTTAGTTACGTTAACGTAAATGCTAACCTCGCCATCGAAGAAGTCATTATCCATATTTACCTCAACTGCCAGAAAGTAATTGTATGGAACGATATCATCAATCAATCTCATGTTTTCCCATGGTTGTGTATTTTCTTTATCACTGTCTTTCACTGTAATGTTACAGTGAAGAGGTAAACTAGTTACAGTTTCTAATAGTAATAAAATAAAACTGATAAAAAATACTCTTCTTTTAGATTTTGAAGTAACACAAAATACATTTAATACATTCATTTCTTCTAAGTTACTTTTAAAGCCTTGGAAAGTGTTACAATACAATTAAATAAGGTTTTTATACTTTTAAATCCTTTGATAACTCGTGTCTCTCTAACAGATTTCAACTAATTTGAAGATACATTTCGTTCTTTTTTAAACAGGGTGTGGCTTACATTTGATGCTACAAAAATTGTGTAATGATAAAACCTTTAATTTTAAAACTAATAACTCACAGTTGTTGTTACAAAGAATACCGACCTAACTTACAATGAGTCTTAAACAAACTGTTACGATAACATTTTGTAACGATCTTCAAAATAAACACAACGTCATTTAAGTATATTTATAAGTATTTTATTTAAATAATTTAAACATTTTTAATTTAAAAAAGTATGTATATTAGTTAAACTTACATTAGAAACTGTAAAATCGTTAATTTAATGTCTCAATAATTATCATGTATCTTTAAGAAGATACCTTTAGATTTTTTATATGACTTTAAGCCTAAAGTAACACATATACACTTTATAGTCTTAAAAAATAAAATTAAAAAATAAATTAAAATCGTTCATTTAGTTTAGTTTTTCGTTAAAATAAAGGTTCTGAAATCTTTTAAATGATACAATTAAATACTGTGATAAAATTATTTGCAATGAGCCTGTTCTTTATTTCAACAAAAAAAAAAGCAGTTAAATAATAAATTTTATACTTTGACTTAAATTGATTTGTGTTTCTACCTTAGTACAGTCTTTAAAGAACTTTATTTACCTTTTATTTCTATTTTTTTGCATGTTTGTTATGTAACATAAGTTTTATTTTGTAAATTGTAACTATATTATTTTAT